CTAAACCCTAAACCCTAAAGTCAGGCCGCAGATAGACCCCTGCCCCGGAAGCGCAGAATGCCCGGCGGAGGTTCTGGGACTATGTCGCGAACCTTTCAGGAGAGGAGCGGTCGGCGCTGCTGAGCTCTGGCTGCATTGGAGGTAGGAGTTAGGGTTTAGGGATTAGTTCGCTTCTCACAGCGCGGTCCAACATTGACATGCCCATACATATGGCCATCTGACTTGATTGAAGAGACGCCCCAAATCCGTTGCATCGGCCGGGCTACGCCGAGGCAGTGGATCACCGGATACCGGCGTATCCCCCCAGGCTGCATGGGAGGGTGGGCTTTGGGGCTAAGAGCTTCGCGCAGTGAGCGGCAGGTGTGGTAAGACAATGTCCCGATGCTTGTCAAGATTCAATAGGACCTGCTAGCAACGACTGACGGGCGTGTGATCGTGTTAAGGTTGCTCCCACCAGTCAGTGGTGACCGTAAGTTTGCAACCCCGTGTTGAGAGCTGCCTCTGTCCGCTTCAAAACCGGGACCCACAGCAAGGCCGGAAGATAACCATGAACGAGTACATAACTAGCCGTGTGTGGAAGAAGGCTTGTAGTAGCCGTCAGGCGATGTAGTAGAACAACGCTCTCCAAGGCATATCAAAGCCTATGTAAGCCTTTACAGACAGCTTTGTTGGCCTGCCCGCACCAGACGCTTGTAGGCAACAGCCTTCCAAGCTCCTGGTGTTGAAAGCTTGCAGCCTAAGGTGGCTTCCCCGCCCCCGTGCCCTTCATGACACTTCACCTGACGGACGCCGCTTTGATTTGGTGTTCCTGTCCAAAAAATCAGAATGCTTGGGCACATGGGGATTTTGCATTCAGGCTCTTATCAGGGGTGGGGAATAACATCAAAATAGGTCCTCATGCTCCGACGCTGTCGTTCTCAATCTTGTGGAAAAATCGAAGTCATGTGAGACAGAGAGAGAGAGAGAGAGAAGGCAGGAGTGCTGCTGCATCTGTCATCTGTCTGTCGGGAAACAGACTTCAAGCAGGATGCCAGCCCACAGCGCCTGCCGACTGCCCACACTTGCGGGCTGCAGCTGGACCTGTGTCCCGGCCATGTGCCAGCTTGGAGGGGGCCTGGATGAGATTTTTTTTGTACCGAGCTCATCGCAGCTCTTGGGGGTAAAGCGACGACGCGTTCTGTTTTGTTCCTGGGCTTCGTGGCGAGATGAGATGCGGGTGAGATGTTCGCCGGACATCGGAGTGCTGAGCTACAGTGACTCCGGAATGCATGCTGCCCACTCCTGCCAAGGCCGCGGAACTATGGCACCTACGATGAACTGCGAATACGGCTGAGAGACGCCAGCCGCTGCCGCCAATTCTTCATAGCTTAGTGCTGGGGGTGTACGGGACTGAACTGTAGTGTTCGCCAATGCAGAAGTAGAGGTTTGCCCCCGGCCACCCCTCCATTGGCCAAGAGATCCTTGGCCCGAAGCGAAGTCTGGCGCAAAAAAGGGGCTGCAACCATGAAATGCATAAGGGGGCCTCCTCGCAGCTAGAGCGTCTCTTGTCTGGAGGCTTCCCGTGGCCAAGTGAAAGATGCAAAGAAGCGGCTGAAAGCGAGCGAGCTCTTGTCACAGGCCGGGCCGGGAAAGCAAGGAACTTAAGTTGCTACAGGGGTATATTATAAGACTAGCTTCCGGAGGTTGGTATACAAGGTTGCTGTACTAGGGTATTTCAAGAAGGCCCTCCCTGTTCGTGTGCAGTTGTCTTGACCTAGACTTCACCGTTTGGAGTGTGCCAAGGCTGCGGAAAATGCCAAGTCCGACCTATCGAAGAAAGACGCCGCAGCGGACTCAGAGGTTTCCGGTTTAGGGTTTAGGGTGCCCCTAAATACGAACCCTCGCCCCCCCAAAGCTCCGGGGGCTCTCAGGCCTTAGTCTATGTGGCATATGTTTTGGTGCTTCTGAGATTTTTCTTGTGGTGGTATAGAGCTGCCTATCCCTTGGAGCTCTTGCAGTGCAACCTTGCAATCCTGAACTCCTAGCCCAATCGTCCCATCAAGGTATGCCCGCTGGTCGTGGGCAGACCCCTAAGATCCAGGCCCGAAGAATGCTGTTAGAAAAGGATCGACCAAAGGGACTCACAATCCGGAACCCTAGACTCAATCCGATATCGCAAAGCCTCCAACACAACTAGGATGCTGACAGAACCCCTTCAGCAACCCTTAACCGCCTTCGTCCCCTTTGTGTTCTTAATCCCCAACTCCCCAATCTTGACGCCCTAAACCCTAAACCC